AGTAGGTCCACCAGGGATCTTTCAGATATGGAATCCCAGAAAAGAGGAATATCAGCACTGCCACAAACAGGAATCAGCCTCAGCCTACCCAGCTCTATGCCCGACTAGTACCCTCATGACAGTGACGAGGGCTCTTCCCACCAATACCTAAACTTCCCACACAGCACCTGCTAATACCTTCCTAAGTGCAGCAGAACATTTTAAAAATTGTAACTAACACCACAGCACCATCTGCTGGTAAAGTACAAGGGCTCTAAATTTATAATACAGTCTTCTTCTATTAAGAAAATTTAAAAAATGTAAAAATTTAAATTAGTAGAAGAGTTAAAATGGGCAAAATTTCATAAACACACACATACATACACACACATATACACATGGCATGAGGTCTCATGGGCAACTTGAGACCTTAAGGCTATATGATGTCACAAGAAAGACCATCTCTCTAGGACCCAAGTAAGTTTAAAGATATATATAATCTTCCTATCAGATGATCTTATTGCTACAGGGTCAGAATTGGACTTTCAGTGGTGAACTTAATGTAGAACACACACTATTTATTTTGGTTTGGGGCCCGCTGTTGGCAGTGCTGAGGGCATATTCCTGGCTCTTGCTCAGAGATCACTCCTGGCAGGGCTCAGGGGCTATAAAAGGTACAAGGACTGAACTCAGGTTGGCCGTATGCAACACAATTACTCTACCCACTGTACAACCCCACTTATTTTTATTTTTAATAGTGTAGATATAAAACCTGTCATAATGCAGCTACTTCCATTTTAAAAATAACAAAATCACTCATTATACACTATTGATCAAAAGAAAAAAATTGTGAAATACATGAGTTACTAAATGATGTATGATAATGTATAATAATGCTCAAATCAGACAAAATGGGAAAATTCTCGATAATAAAATATCAACTGCTAACAGCTAAAGAATTAGAATGGATGGTTATCCAATTATCATTGTAAAACTGACAAAGAAGCATTGCTAACTGATAAATCTAGAGGGTACAAGGATATACACAGTGTGTTACAGTTTTGTGTATAGTTTTGAAGTGTCTTCCATAGAATATTAGTCAGTCATGAGAAAGAAAAAAATACCTTTAAATTTTTGAAAGGGACTACATTCAACCTCAAATTTCTTAGGGAAATATGGGTAAATTTTGGGGAGGAAGACCACTTGAGCAGTACTCAAGCTGGGGGTGGGGGAGAGGAGGGGATGGGAGGACACTAGTCTCACACCAGGGGGTGCTTGAAGTCACCAATGTCAGCCCTTTTCCAACAATAATTCTTCGGGTTTTTTTTTTTGTTTTTTTGGTTTTTAGTCACATTCAGCAATGCTCAGGGGGTTACTTCTGGCTCTGCACTCAGGAATCACTCCTGGAGGTGCTCAGGGGACATATGGGATGCCGGGAATCAAATTCAGGTCAGCTGCATGTAAGGCAGATACCCTACCCCCTGTACTATTGTTCTGGCCCCACCAACAATACTTCTTAAAGTCTATGTACATGAGATAACTTTGTATTTACTTGTTTCTTCAATTTTCTTCATTAACAGTACCTTAAAGTTCTCAGGGTAGACATCTTAAACGTATTTAACAAAATTATTCCTTAGTATTTTCTTTTTTAAAAAGCAATTCTTAATTTTTTCTTCACTACTGGTATAAAAAACACAACTAAATATTAAGTACTGATCTTCTGTCCTGTAACTATGCACAATTCTTTTATTTACTTTTTTTTAGTCACCCTGAAATTACAGTTATTCATGATTAGGTTTTTGACATACAATGCTGGAACAGTGAATCCTTCATCAGTGTCCACTTCCCTCTACCAATGTCCACTCCCCACCACCATCTAGTTCTAAAAATTTTCAAGGTCTTCTAAATATAGCATGTCATTGGCAAATTGGGACTATTTACTTCTTTTCTGATTTGGATGCTTTATATTGCTTGTTCTTGATCAATTTCTCTGAGTATGACTCCAGTATTATGGAATAAAAGTGGTAACTAAGTGAACATCCTTGACCAGAACTTAGAGGGACATTTTTCAGCTTTTCACCACTTACTACAATGTTAGTTGCAGGCATGTCGCATATGGCTTCTATTATGTTAAAACATTTTCCTCCTATACCAACACTATACTTAAGGGTTTTACCATGAAAGGACACTAAATTTTGTCATCTTTTTTTTCTTAAGAAAATCATATAATTTTTATTAATATCATATATTATACTGGTCTATGGAAGGTGAATCATCCTTTTACCCCCTAGAATAATTATATTTTATACTAGTATATGCTGAGTTTAGTTTGCTAATGGTTTTTGAGGATTCTGGAATGCACGTCTATTAAAGATATTGGCCCAATAGGGGTCTGGAGAGATAGTACAGCAGGTAGGCCTTTGCCTTGCTCATGGCCAACCCAGGTTTTATCACTGGTATTCCACACAGTTCCCTGAGCACCACCAGGAGTAACTCCTGAGTGCAAAGCCAGGAGTAACTTCTAAGTACTATTGGGTGCTATCGCTAGCACAGTGGTAGGCATTTGCCTTGCACGCAGCCAGCCAGCCCAGCTGAGCCAAGTTTGATTCCTCCACCCCTCTCGGAAAGCCTGGCAAGCTACCGAGAGTATTCAATATGCCAAACACAGTAACAAGAAGTCTCACAATGGAGACATTACTGGGCCCGCTCGAGCAAATCGATGAACAACGGGAGGACAGTGTTTGGACTGACAGTCGGATGTTGCTCAAAAACCATACTGGCCCATAATTTTTTCTTGTGTTACCACTGTTTGATTTTGGTATCAGTAATACAAACCTTATAAAATAAATTTGGAAATATTTCTTCTTTCTGATTTTTTTGGAAAGAGTTTAATAAAACTGTTATCAATTCTTCTTTAAATGTTCTAATTTACCAGTATAGTTATTTAAGTCCTAAATTTTGCTTAAGTGATATTATATTAATTCAATATCTTACTTTATTTATGGGCTCATATTTTATGTCCTCCGGTTTCTGTTGTCAAAGGTTATATGCTTGAAGAAATTTATCCACTATTCCTAGCTTTTCCAATTTGTTGGTATGCAGTTATTCACAGCAGTCTCTTACAATTCTTTTAATTTACATGGTAAAGTTATGTTTGCTTTTTCATTTCTAATTTTTCAAGTATTCTCTCTTTTTCTTGGCAAATCTGACTAAAACTTTGTTTATTTTGTTTATCTAGTTAAAAAACTCAGTATCTTATCTGTTTTTCTATGCTCAATTTATTTTATTTTCACTCTAATCTAGTTATTTCCTTTTCTCGACTAACTTTGAGCTTTGTTTCTTTTTCTAGCACCGAACTGTCAATTTAGTTTGTTTTGAGGGTTTTTTTTCTTACTGTATTACAAGAAACTTTCCTTTTACATGTGTCTGCTTAATTTTATTAATTTTGGTATGTATTTTCATTTGTGTCTCGATATTTTTTCTTTTGGTTTATTCTTAATCCCTTAATTTTTCTGCAGCTTGTGAATCAGCATTATGAAATGTGATTTGTTTCCTCTTATGCTGACAAATTAAAAAAAATTTAGATCTTGGTATTTAATTAAAATAAGCAAATAAATGTTCTTTGTTGACCATTTCAAAATGCAAACCAATTTGTTTCCCTAGAGGTGATACTCAATGCTCTGCAAGCAACAGAAAGCACAACAGATAATGAGATTAGATCACACAACTTCCTCCAAACTATTATAATCTTTTATTACAGAGCACTGAGAACAAAACAATAAGTCAACAGATAACCAAAAGAACAACAACAAAAAGGCTTCCAATTTCTTTTATGGGGATAAGCTCTTCTGAAGCTAAATAGTTTCAAATATTTCATATTTGATTTCTTGTTTGGTTATCACCTACGAAATTACATAAAACAGATGATACAGCAAGTAAGTCATTTGCCTTGCACGTGACTGACCCAGGTTCTATCCCTGGCACTCCCAATGGGTCCCCAAGACCTCAAGGAATGATTCCTGAGCACAGAGCTAAGAGTAAGCACTGAGCACTAGTGGGTATACCCCAACCCCCAATAAAACCCACATACAAAAGATACCCAAAATTTTGTCATGAATCTTTTCTATGTTGAGAAAGTAGATACAATTGTCTGAAATTAAATACCCCATTTTGAAAGAGCACTTTTAACTTTTGTTACTCTTAACGTATCAATTTTGATCTAGTGCCACAAATAATAATGAGTTGACATTTTTATATGGGTGCTTAAAACATAACACCAAGGAGTGTAACAAAAAAATTGTTTTTAAAACAATATTCTGGTTATATGCTCTGTAGTCTGTGAAAGATACTTCGGGAGAAGTACTGACAGTGAAAATTACAAATGAACCATGGCAGAATACAAATCTTAATAAATCTATCCACTGATATGACTTTTTTTTAGAAACATCCAGATAACAGACTGAAAATACAGTAATGTGGGTAAGGCCTCTGGTCAAGGCAACTTGTTTTCAATCACTGGCACCACATATGGCCCCACTACTTCTGCTAGGAGTGATTCCTGGGCAAAGAGCCAGGAGTAAGCCAGGACACAGCAAGGTGTGCCCTCCACACAAAATTGAAATTATGGCTGGTATTTCAAAAGAACCGGAAGCTGAAGAAATAGTAAGCACAAGGCTTACATGTCTTCAATCTCTAGAACTGCCTGGTCCCAGAGTACCAATGGGGAGATGAGAGGCCTGACCTCTGCCCACCCCTTCACCCCCTCCACACCCAACACACACACACACACACACACACACACACACACACACACACACACCAACACCCTAATCCCAGGGAATGATCTCTGACTAATAAAAAAAAAATTCTTAAACTTCTTTACTTTCTACTCTATTCTCCAAGAGTATAGTATTTCACTTGCTAAAAAAAAAAAAAAATTCAAAGAAGTATTTTAACTGAGAAAAAAATACAACAAAACTTCTGTTATCCTTTTAACTATACTTTGATTAAGGTTGTTGTACCTGAAGATTGATTTCCGCCTCATAGAAGGTTAGGCATGAGCAGTAATGTCGATCTGAGTCAATATCTGTCAGGACCACCACAAAAAACGTTGGCTGCTTCCGCTCTCTGGATAGTTGCCATCCACCAGGCTGACAAAACTAGGTAAAATAGAAAAAAATATTATGCCATTTTATAAGTATAATGCAAAATATTTATAAGTCTAAAAAATGCTAAAATGTTTTATTAATTATTATTTCTACCTGATGTGATGTTACCTCAGTAGTCATTTTTAAATATCCCACACAGGTTAATGATGTAGAACATTTTTACTAATGTGAATAATACACTTTACAAAGGCAGTCTTGATTTTCCACAGATGCCACTCACTCTGAAACCTAAATGGAAACAAGCAGGAATATTGCACCAAAATCAAAGACTTTAATCCATTAGAACGAATCATGAAATAAATTTAAGCCAAATTGTAAAATACATGAACCAATCTAGAGTCTTTGATTTAATTACTCCTTCATTTCAGTATAATGAGAAATGTATTTTTTCATTAACTGAAACAATATTCTGGGCTATAAGATATTCTTTAATATATTTAGGAGCTGGAGAGATAGCATAGGGTTAAGGCACTTGCCTTGTATGTGCCAACTCCAGCTCAATCCCCAGTACTATATACACTTTCCTAAGCACCGTCGGAAGTGATTTCTGAGCACAAAGCCAGATGTTAATACATGCCACTCTAAGAAAGTAACATTATTTGCTCTTCACACAACTACTACTTTATAGCAGAGGGGCTTTAATATTAGGTATTCACTAAACTTAGTAAATGGTAATAAAATTACACACCAGAGAAAAATTACATACCAGAGAATATTTATTTAAAACACGTATTTTAAATAAAAAATTAGGTTTTCAACCTGGCAAGCTCCCCGTGATGTATTCGATATGCCAGACACAGTAACAACAAAGTCTCCAATGGAGACGTTACTGGGCCCGCTGGAGCAAATCGATAGGTTTTCAATATGGATCAAAATATATGTCTTCAAAATAGCCCAAGAATAGCAAATGTACTGATTTCTCACATCAAAATACCTTTCCTTCCTCAAGGAGGTCCACAAACAACAAAATAATTTTCATAAGCAAATAGATCACTTAAATGAAGATATTTAACTACTTAAAACCAAAAAAAAAAAAAAGAGCGCCAGATAGCATGCGCAGCAGACGGAGTGCATGTTTTACATGTAGATGGTCCAGATTTAATCTCTGGCATCACATGGTTCCAGAGCACCAATGGAAACATCTCCCATGCATACAGCAGATATGCGCCCCCACACCCCAACACAACTAGGTGTTATCCTCCAAACCAAACAAAAAAAACAAATCCTTGAGGTCAGAAAGAACATGGAAGCACATGACAGGCTGGAGCTGGCTCTCCCCCTCCTCTGAGATGAGATGCATACTTTAACAACCAAACTTTATAAGGCATCTGTCAAGGTGGCAGGCTGAGGCATGGGGTGTAGGGGAGTGAACCTGGGAACACTGATGGAGGGAAGTTGGCGCTGGTGGTGAGATTGGTGATAGAACACTGTATGTCTAAAACTCAACTATAAATAACTTTGTAAAACATGGTGCTTTAACAAAATACAATTTAAAAAATAGAAAAATCCTTATTTTAATAGAAAACACTTAAGTATAACATCCAGAAGGTGAATATTACAGTTTAGGCAGTAAGATTTCCTTAAGACACTAGAAATGGTCTCATTTTCCCCAAGTTTACAAAAGAGAACTTCTGTTAAGATTTGAATTTTTTTAAGTATTCACAGTAAAACTTTTGGGAAATTCCAAGGATTGTTTTCAGATTAATTAAGTACTTCTTCAAATCTAAGTTTAATGTGACCACAAGATAGTTCATGATACTTCATGGTAGATCTGGTTAAATATTTTTACAATGCCCATAGAGGCTGTCAAAATAGTTATTGACACAGATCTGACTACATAAGATCCCTTATTTCACAATTATTAGCTATAGATGTTAAAAGGAATTACTTTATGCTATGATTTTTGCAACACTACTGAACTCATACCTTACAGGAAATCTTGATTCTGCTTTATCAAATAAAATATGTTGATTATGAATATTCAGAAGTAAACAGCAGCTCCCAAAATCAAGCTCACAATTTTTTTCAAAGATAAAAGGAAATGTTCTTAATCTCCAATTAAATGTCACTTTTCAAATTGATCATATCATAAGATTAATTAATTGAATGCCAATTGTCAAAAGATAGTATCGATATTTTTCAAAAAGTACTCGCCACAGGATTTGGATTTGAAGCATAATAATGTTAGCCAGTTCAATCATTTCAAATCTTTGCGGAGGAAGTAATAAACAATAAGGGAGTAGACATTGCAATTCTTGAACCTGAGCTCGAGTCACATTTCTGAAAGGAATGTGAGGGAATGTTTAGACAGCTGGAGACAAAATAGTCACTAAAAGATAGCAAGCAAGCAGAATGATAAGTATTGAAAAAACAGGATAAATCAAGGGTTTTATCCTCTGGTGTCTTTATTGGCAAAAAGAAAAAAAAAGCTATCACAGGTGTAAAACCTAAACTGTTTGTATGAATTATAACTGGCTACACTTTGCCCTCTGTTTTCAAGTCACTAAAAAAATACATCGATTTGAGATACCATTATCAATGAACATACCATGAAACTGTAAAACATTATATATACTTGACCATACATACAATAATTTAAGTTTGTGACTACTCCTTTCCACCTAATCCTCATCATTTCACAGACCATAAACTCTGAGAAGACTGCAGTACATGCTTTGCATGCATATCCCTGGTACTTCATGGTTGCCCCAGCACCACTAAGAGTGGCCCCTGAGCCAGGAATAGTCTCTGACCTCTTCTCAGTGTGGTCATGCGAAAAAGAAATATTTTTAAGGGAAGTGTAATACTGTCACACTAGGTGTCCAAAGAGAGAAACAAGTGGAAAATGAAAGAGAACTAAAGAAGAAAATTAGATCAAGGCAGAAGTACCAATTCTTGGGTAATAGAAAATTCAGAAAAAATACATAACATTTTTCACATCATTTAAATTGCTTTTAAAGATAATTATATCAACAAAAATAGTACTGCAGTATGGAGGTTGGAGTATATGTAGAAGATATGGTAACAATAGCACGAGTAGGGAAGGGGGGAAGAAACAGTTTACATACTATATAATACCACTGAATGCAAAGTGTGTTGACTTAAATATACTATAAGTTAAAGCTGTACAAATCCCTCAAATGACAAAACAGTTTAAACTAATGGACAACAGAGGAAATAAAATGAAATCAATGAGGCCAAAGTGATAGTATGGCAGGTAGGACATTTGCCTTGCACATGGCTGATAACCCAGGTTCGATCTCTGGCATCCCATATGGTCCCCTGAGCACCACCAGGAGTAATTCCTGAGTGCGGAGCCAGGAGTAACCCCTGAGCAATGCTTGGGGTGACCCCAAAAGCCAAAAAAGAATCATAAAGAAAATAATCTAAAAGAAAGCTGAAAACAAAGAAAAGAACAGTAAGATAAATTTAAAAATTGCAAAATAATAAACTCAAACCTAACCATGATAATGAGAGTATGTGACATATTTTGAAACTGAATTAAAAAGCAAGACCCTAGAAACAACACACTGCCCAGCAGAAACATTGTAAGTACAAAGAGCTACAGAAGTCATAAGGAAATGGATAGAAAATAGCAAAATATATTATCATTAACCAAAAGAAAACTACAGTAGCTATGTAAATACTTATTTCAAGACAAAGAATGTCAACAGTAACTTAAAAAGGCACTTTATAACACTGTATTAGCTGATTCATCAAGGGGACATAAAATCATAAATATTTATTTTCCTAAAAAAAGTCTTCAATACAAGAAACTAGTCAACAAGACTACAATAGAAGACAGATTTTCTGTTATTATTTTAAATTTATTTTTATAAAGTTGTTCACAACAATTCATTACATTTAATATTCCAAACACCAGTTTCATCACCATTGCACCTTCCTACCACCATAAGAGAAAAGTGTGTAAAGATTGTTGTATTTCATCCTGGACACATTAAGCCCTTATCTAAGAAATGTTTCTGTTATTATTTGATAAAGACTTCATAATGCCTTTCTGAATAACTGGGAGAATAAGTTAAAAATCAGTAAGAATGGAGAAGATTTGAACAATACTATAAGTCAACTGTACCTATGTTTTAAAAACAATACACAGATTTCTGGTCAAGACGGCGACAGCACAGTGACAAGTGGCAAAGCTGGAGGAGCCACAGCAGCTCTCAGTGCTTCGAGCGGTCGGTGGGGGTCACAAAGTTTCTGTGTGACTGAATGTGGGCGTCCCTTCAATATTCTGTCTCAGAAAGAGCGTCATTAAACGAAATCTGCCAGTTACCTGCACCAGCCCAGAATGGGTCTCTTGAGGATGGCAGTGGCACAGCCGCCAGTGGGAGGAGCCACTGCAGCTCTGGATGCTATGGGCGGCAGCAGAGTTTTAACGTGTCTGAATAGGACTCTTTGCAGACAACCTGGCACGACAGTGGAGTGAAGGCCCTGGAGCTGAGGGGACACTCTGGGTTCTCACTATGGGGCTCCAGTGATTTGCCACCAACAGAGTGGGCCCATGGTCATTTCTTCCCCTGACTGGCCCAAGCACATTATGGAGGAAAACCTCCCTGAGCAACAACTGTCAGGAGACCAAGGATGGAGGCAGTGTCCCCTAGCTGGATAGGTGGCTGCAGCTAGCCCAGAATGTCCACGCTGCAAACAGCAGTTGCCCTGGCCCCGGTCCTAGTTCCTGCCAGGGCCACTGCCACCACTGCCACTGGAGCCCAGGAGATACGGTGCCACCAACTGGTCAATCTGGACCTGTATGGCAAGTGCATCAACAGCCTGATAGTGCCTTCAGGCTTCCTGATACCCCAAAATTGCTGCTGTGTCTCTGGCCAGATTCCAACAACTCAGAACCAAGTTTCTTGAGAAATTAAACAGCCAAAAGTTATGTATGTGGAAGCCACACCCACAAACCACCTCCTGTTCAGTCGTACAAGTTCATTTATGGATCTTACTTCAGACACTTATAAATAAATCTT